GAGAGGAGAGGAGAGGAGAGGAGAGGTGAGGTGAGGTGAGGAGAGGAGAGGTGAGGAGAGGAGAGGAGAGGAGAGGAGAGAAGGAATACCTCTTCTCCGTTCAGCGCATCGCCGAATGCCATGAGGCTCTGAAAGCTTTCGGTAGGAACTCCATTGACCGAGTGAATAATCTGAGGACACAGACGAAAGGAGGAGGAGGAGGAGCAGTAGGAGTTCAGGATCAGGACAAGCAGGAGCATGAAATTACGTCGTGTACTCTTTAGTTGTCCTCCCTTCTCCGCAGCACTTCCCGGCTTGATGGTGGAGGCCTGCAAGGGTGAGAAAGTGAAGGAGGAGGAGACTCGAGGAGGGAGAGTGAGGAAGAACGATGAGACAGCACTGATGGCGGCAGCGGTGGACAAGGAGGAGGAAGGGAGGAATAGGAGGCACCTGGAATGTCCCTGCTTCCGTCTTCTTGAACTTGAAACCAAGCCCAGCCTGCCTGCCCTGCTGCAATATCACAAATGCTCCCTCCCTCCCTCCCTCCCTCCCTCCCTCCCTCCCTCCCTCTCTACCTCCCTCCCTCCCTCTCTCCCTCTCTCCCTCTCTACCTCCCTCCCTCCCTCCCTCCCTCCCTCCCTCCCTCCCTCCCTCCCTCTCTACCTCCCTCCCTCCCTCTCTCCCTCTCCTTCTCACCTTCTCTTTGTGCACCTTTCTCTTCCCCACCATCTCCTGCTTGTTCTTCTCCTTCTCCTGCCGGCTTATCACAAGCGCATGCACAACCTGGCAAAAGGAGAGAAAAAGAGAAAGAGGGGGAAGGAGGCGAGAGGAAGAAGGAGAGTCGCGAAGAAAGCAAACAAGGAAGGGAGGGAGGGAGGGAGGGAGGGAGGGAGGAAGGCAGGGAGGGAGGGAAGGCAAACCTTAGCAATCTCTTCTTGGTATTTCTGGGCCTGCATAAGCGTGTAAGAGATCACGCGAGCAACTACCAGGTCACCTGCTGTAGGAACGCTTGCTCTGCCTCTCTCCTCGTCTTCTCCTCGAGCTCCTGCGCCCCTGCCATCACCTTCTCCTCCCCAGCCTCCTGCATCCTACCCGCGCCTCTCGCGCCTCTCTCTCTTTGTCCTCCAGCTGCTTCTTGTACCTGAGCCACACAGTAAGCAAAACCCTCACCCCCTCCTCCTCCTCC